GCGTGTTGCCGCGCAGACCGAAAGAAAGTCGGCACGACAAAGTCTAACATGGAATTTGGTTCTGCACCTATGTTTAATTACGTGCACTGCCAGTAGTCCATAGTAAATGATGCTTGCTATGGGCCTGCCTCTTGATCGGACGACATGAACTACGAACAAAAAAAACATCGTTCATTTTTAAGAATTATAAACCGTCAGTTTGCCTGGCCCGAACCAGCTGTATTGGAACTACTAAGTTGGTACTTCAGTACTTAGCGCGGCTGTGATCATGCCTAACATAGCCTGCCTCGACGATGTTGCAAATTGTACGTATTTACTTCTCAAGAACCCGCAGCTACTGATCTGGATAACTTAACTCTTTCGTGTTTTGACAGACTATGTCGAGGCAGGTTTCGTGTCGACCTCCTCGACACTTCTAGATGGGCAACGGTATCGGATTGAGGGCAGCGACAATCACTCTATGGGACGCATGACGAAGAATATACTCAAAATATTTCACTTGTTATCCTTAAATGACCCAAGATACCTTTACGATGCTGTCGCAGCGAGTACGGAATCCCCTATAATATATGCAATATGCAAAACAACTGGTTATTTTAACATTACGTTCGAATGACAGAATACCGTACAAACTAGGCCAATGTAGTGGCTATTGTCTGATAGAATTCTCAATAAATCAGAATGAAAACCGTTTGTTAGTGACCATACAATCAAGCCCCGAATGTGGATAGCAGACAGCAACCACCAACTCTATTTAATGTCCGAGAAACCCGGCCCGCTTCGTAGGAACTGATGATGATTCATAGGCCATTCACGCTTACAGACTCTCTGTGAAAGTGCAATAATAATAATGGAGGCATCTTTTAATAGATAGAATTTGGCGGAGAGGTAGGACTTACCTTTCGTGGTGTGTTAATCCACGCATGATGGCTGAAATGAGAGTCAGTGGAGACACCTACAACGTTGGTATCTATGGCCTGGAACTCGGAGATGCGATCAGAGAAGGCAATCAATTCGGTCGGGCAAACAAATGTGAAGTCCAGGGGGTAGAAGAAGACCACTAAGTACTTGCCAAGGAAGTCCTTGAGCTGCATTTCTTTAAACTCTCCATTTAACACAGCGGTAGCTTTAAAGTCCGGAGCCATCTTGGTTACTTGAGCGGCATATCCTCGTGTTTGAGCGACCTGGCAGAGGCGTTGTGAGCTCAGGGAAGCGAGCGCAGTAAAGATTCTGGGACGAAGAGCGGGAAGTACGCGACTCAACATTCTAAAGGCGGGGAAAACCGATCTGGAAGAGAGCAAAGGAATTAGCTTAGGGCAGAGAAAAAATATGGAGCCAAAGGGTATCCATCAGCTGGAAGTGAATAGGGTAAAGCTGACATGAGCGTCCGAAATGTTCTCAAAAAGTAAACAGTATCTATGATTAATGCGACGATGGCGACCGACGTTCTGTTTCTTTGAAGCCAACAAGATCAGCATGACCAGGGCCAGATTACGGCATCCCGAGTAGGCTTTCTGGATTGGTATTCAACTAACGTAGTAAGCCGGCGCCGCGATTGTAAGAGGACTTTCCCGAGTTGTCCAACACGCTATTTCTGAGTTTAACCCCGAAAACATGAATTCTATCGCAGATGTCCTTGTAAGACTGCGATTGCGCGTCATCCTTTCCCTGTTAGAAAATTAAGTGATCATTTGCATGAAGGCAGACGTGAGTGAAAACTGAAGTCCATGAGAGTTTTTATTATATGGTACTTCTGAGTGGCGTGAGAAAATGCAACCCAATACCGTTCCGTCGCCTTTCGTCTGAAGAGGACGGG